TGTATGTGTGTGTGTGTGTGTGTGTGTGGGTGTGTGTGTATGTATGTATGTATGTATGTTACAATTTTTTTTCGTCCACGTTATGTACAGATGCGAGACCTTCACAGACGAGGAATTTTCTGATAGTGAGATGCAAACCAACGCCAACAACAACTTAGATACGAATGAACAAGAACAACTACGGGAAACCAGTATAGCAGAACAACAAGATCAAAATATAGAACCGTCCCTGGACCTAGACCTGGAGAGTGAGGGCAGTGATACGGAGCAAACTGAGAGAGAGAGCAAAAAGAGGAGTAGGGAGATATTCAGCGACAGCGAAGGTATACTGAGGGTTATATATATATATATATATATATATATTCGAGGTTTATGATGTTGGTTGGGTATTCCAGTATCGATTTAAGAAATGTAAAACGGAGGTTGTATTGTGCTGAATATATCTAAACATCATTCGCCCTGTATGTAAACCCAATTCCGTACTTCACCCATACAGAGGAGGAGGAACCAACACCGGCACAAGCAGAGGATTCTCCCGTCATATCCGCAGATATAAGGCCCGCTGTCAAAATCAATCCGTTCGCCTCGAACAAATCGCACACCCCTACACAGCTTAAGAAGTCCACTACATTCTTTGACAACCTCAGCAAACTCGCTGATAGAGGGACACCAAAAGGTGCTTTTACTGTGTTTAATGTTTAATTCTGTGTGTATATGTATATAGTTATGAGTGGATGTTCCTTTTGTATACTTGTATATTCATGTAACTTCTAATTATATTCTCTTGTATACGTGTGTAATTTTTTGTGTTCATTTGCAGAAGCTTCTCTATGTAAACGTAGGGAACGTCATGTTTTTTTGGTTTGCCATAGACGTATAACAAAGGCGCACATACATCTGCAGACATTGCTGAAGTGATGTCCACCTTCAATTGGCAACAACTAGTGACTTCATTTATTCATTTACACACCTATAACAGTGCAGTGAATATGTATGCTCAAGTACGTCACGACCAGTATATATGGTATCATCCTAGTAAGGATATTCATACAATCTTCTATAGGACATGTATTTACACAATTATATTTGTATATATATGTGTGTGTGTAAGCGTGTGTGGATGTGTGTGTTTGTGTCTATATATATAGATTTGTTATATATATATATATGTATGTGTGTGTTTGTGTCTATATATATAGATTTTATATATATATATATATATATGTATGTGTGTGTGTGTGTGTGTGTATGTGTGTGTATGTATAGTA